CACACACACACACACACACACACACACACACACACACACACACAAACACAACTGGTGTAACTGGCCGATCAGTCACCCCGGTACCCTTCCTTAGAAGAACCATCATAACACAGTATGCAGCTGAAGTACTTTCTAGGTACTTAACATTTTAACACACAGGATATTAAAAGGGCTTTTACATAAGAGTCAAAATGTCATAAAATGATCATTGTTACTGCTTCATCAAGGATGGTAGACCCTCTTTAGAATTAGCATTGTTAGTACTACACTACAAGATGTGGCATTAAGAACACAATAGCCACGCAGGTAGTTTGTTGCCATTGTCTTTAATTATGCTAAAGCACCAGAAGTTTTACCCTCCATTGTTTCTTCACCATCCGATCCAGCTAATGTCAACACAAGGAAAAAGGTGAATGTCTTCTCATAATTATGGGAACCTTGAGAAACTCATGAATGGATCTGGCTAATGTTCCTACAGCCTAGTTTTTGTCATATCACTCCTCCGCTCATGAGATTCCAATTGTTCATCATTGCCCACAGGGAATGTTAAAAAATCAAAGCTCTCAACCTGGAAGTTAAAATGCACACTCTCTTACATTAATTTATCTTTTCATTCCATATCGCCTTCGTGCAAACTGGCTCTAGAACAAACGAAGCTATTTCTATGTCTATTACAAACCCTGGGAGTTTGCAGTTTCCCTCAACTAATTACACCATTCTCTGTGCCTGAGGGCCTTATTTTTTTCTCACATTCTTTATATGAAGCACGTCTTTTTTTCAAGGTCCAACTCAAATGAGGCCTAAGTGGCTATCATAGATCCCCCTTCTGAATGCACTCAGCACTCTGTACCTCTCCCCTGCCATTTACGTTCTACCCTGTGATAACACCTCACCATCCCTGCAGCCTAGGAGGATGTCTGACACACAGTTGGTGCTCGGTAAATACTTGAACGTTTGGTTGCATTGAACCATTTGTGCACATGTTTCACTGCAGCTACCATATGGGATTGTTGGCTGAAATTAGGGTTAATGTCTCTGTTCCCTGAATAGAGTATTTCTTGTTGTGAAGTTCATTATGATACAAGGCAATTCACCTCACCACCTTGATCTCATTAGTCAATCCTATTCTCCTTAACATTCTCAAGCTTATATCAAGATCTCCCAAACAAGAGCATAAGAATGTTACAACACTTTGAACTGTGGAAAAGAGTATTGATTTTTTTTTAAGTCACATTTGAAGGTTTATTGAGACAAAATTACCATTTAGTTATCTTCCTTGGACTTTCGAGTAAATTTCTCAGAACAAAAGAATTACCCCCATCCATGCCATCCGACTATTATCTTTCTGGTTTCAAGCAGATATTTCAGGGACCATAAGGAGCTAGCATATTTTGATTATGAGTTTCCCATACCTAAGTCACTTTGTGTGGGCAATTGTCTAACATAAGGAAGCTAAAAATTCTGCCTATAAATGGCATTAGAGACTACAGCTTGCTTTGAGGAAATCTCAGAGAGCTCGTTTCTTTTCACAGAAGACCCCAAGAAAAACTTAGAATGTAAAAACAAAATGAAGTTTCTCCATTGGTCTGTCTAAATTGGGATGAAATCTCACATATTTTGTCTTAGTCATTGCAGGTATGGGAGAATATGGCACATGTCTTACCTGGAAGCAGATAAGCAGTGGTGCCTGTATTAATATCTTTCTTTTAATGTCTTTTTTTTAAATTTACTGTGAGAGAGAAAGCATGCAAGGAGGGATGGGCAGAGAGATAGGGAGAGAGAGAATCCCAAGCAGGCTCTGTGCTATCAGCACAGAGCCCCAAATGGGGCTCGATCTCACAAGCCGTGAGATCATGCATGACCAGAGGGGAATTCAAGAGTCAGATGCTTAACCGACGGAGCCACCCAGCCACCCCTGTTTTACTACCTTTGATCTTTAAGAAATTGCATGTATTTTCTTTCTGGGTAAAATGGTATTTATAATGGATATATCAGAGGGCTTATGAATATAAGGAAGAGCCTTTTAATCACTAGTAACCAAATCATTAATTGCGAGGTTCAGTGAAATGTATTACAGTTAAAGCAAATCAAGCGTAGCCCTGTAGGTTCCCATATCTGCTCTGAAACCAGAATTCAGACATACGCCTTCACTCTAGGTGACTTTCCAACAGCTAGCAAATAGTTCTCGCTCCATAAGGAGCCATCACACTGATGACACTGTGCTAAAACTTCGACAGCAGACTCCCGCCAAGTCCAGAGAGATCCTATCTCTAATCACTGATGCTCTCACTATTACCATCCCCGCCACCAGTGGAGTATATTCCACTAGATATGCCCGAGGGTTAGGTGCGTGCAGTTGAACCTCTGACTCCAGATTCTGCTCTTTCCAGAAGGTTCTTTTCCAGGTATTGTGGGAGAAGGGAGGATGATCAGTTCCCTTCCGTACACATTGCTCTGTCCAGCCAAATCTGCTCCATACCAGTTGTTCCTAATCACTCAACAGCCTCTTCCCTACAACACCAGCTCATTTCCAGGATAGCTTGTTTGAGACAATTTCCCTTGCTTGCTGCTTCATGGATTTAGAGCTCCTGCTTCCTTTATCGCCCACTTGACTTAGCTCAGAAGCCAGATCCTATGTCCTCTCTCTACCTCCATGGTAGCAGTCTTCCTCCAAAAGCTCCATTCACTTTTTGTCTTTAAGTGTATGTTTCAGCAGCTTCTCATTCAGAACAGGGGGAAGATGAAATCCTTCTTTTCTTAGGTGCCACTCCTATATAAATATGAATTTTTCATTTACTAAAAGATGCTGACTTATTACAAAATATATTGGTTAATTCTGTCCTGAATTCACCGATAGTATGTGCAAGAGTTTCCTCCTCCACAAACTGTCTCACATGGATTTTCTTTGTACTCTGAGTTTCTCTGAATAGCTGGCATTTCTATTTAAAATACCGTTTTGTTCATTTTGGGATTTGGAATGTAGAAGCAAATGCCATCAACTAAAATAGTTAATGATTAAATCAAGAAAGCTAGAAGGCTTGTGGTGCCTGGGTGGCTCAGTCGCCTAAGCATCCGACTCTTGATCTTGGCCCAGGTCATGATCTCATGGTTCATGAGTTTGAGCCCCATGTCGGGCTCTGCACTGACAATGTTCAGAGCCTGCTTGGGATTCTCTCTCTCTCTTTCTCTCTGTCACTTCCCATCTCGTGTTTTCCTCTGTATTTCTCTCTTGCTCTCTCTTTCTGAAGATAAATAAATAAACAGAAAGAAAGAAAGAAAAGAAAGAAAGAAAGAAAAAGAAAGAAAGAAAGAAAAGAAAGAAAGAAAAAAGAGAGAGAGAGAGAAAAAGAAAGATATAAGCCTTGATATTTTCCCCCATAGATATTACAGTTTAGGCCTTTTCCTAATCAGTAACAATTTCAGTTTTTGTTGAAAGAGTCCTGAGTACTTTGAGAGGTGAGGAGATATCTAATGGAGTGGAACCAAAATGAACTGTTGTAATAATTCTGTTGTGGCCCATTCCAAGGAAACAATGGATATGCATGTCCTTTGAAGTTTCTATATGCCATGTCATGGTTTTTATTAACCTACTATGTTTTCTCACATTATTTGGTGAGTATTCTATGAGAATAGATTTCAACAGACTTTGGTGAGATGAAACTGTCAGTCTATCGAGTTAAGATGACACTGGTCTTCCCACCCTATGTGAAATGTACAAGTTTTTTGGTTTTTTTAATTTTATTTCTTTGAATGCACTTTTATGCTATTAATATGTTTATTATGTTTTACCTAGTTGGGTACACAATGAATGATCTCATTTTTGAATGGCAAGATGAGGCGCCTGTACAAGTGGCCGAAGGACTCACTTTGCCCCAGTTTCTGCTGAAAGAAGAGAAAGATTTACGATACTGCACTAAACATTACAACACAGGTAGGGTTTGAGCATTCTTTATTATGCTTGTGACTTCTGGTTTTATGATGTTCAATATTTCTTAATTATAGTGGTAGATTAATTATTTTAACTATTTATAGCTCAGTATTTTTCATAGTGACAGCAGAAAACAAATGCATGTGAAATTTACGAATACTTCAACTCGATGCATGTTGTTATATAACTGATTCATATAGGATCAAAGAAATGCTCAATTATATCTATTTTTTTCTTTTGCAAAAAGCCCATAGTTCGGTCTAAACGATGTTTCAAAAAAAAAAGTTCCTTTAATTTCTATGTGAACAATAAAATGTACTTTCTAGCTCTTCTTGGACAATATACGTTGTGTTTGATGACAAAATGAAAGAAATTGCTTTTTTTTTTTTTTTTTAA